GAGTGAGTGAGTGAGTGAGTGAGTGAGTGAGTGAGTGAGTGAGTGAGTGAGTGAGTGAGTGAGAGAGTGAGTGAGTGAGTGAGTGAGTGAGTGAGTGAGTGAGTGAGTGAGTGAGAGAGAGAGTGAGTGAGTGAGTGAGTGAGTGAGTGAGTGAGTGAGTGAGAGAGAGAGATTGAGAGAGTGAGTGAGTGAGTGAGAGAGTGAGTGAATTAGTGAATGCGAGAAAACTATCCTACAGTGATGTGAGATGTTAAACACCCTCACGCGCCCATAATAATTAAATATCCAGCCTTAAGATTTGGTTTCTGCTCTATGATATGTCGCTTGGTGGTGTTAGAGTTCGTAGTTAATTGACAGCCACAGACGCGTATATCACATATACCGTGACCAGAGTAGTTAAAATGGTCAGCAACAGGAAAATCGCGGGAAGTGAGACGAATAGATCTTAGGGTTTTCGCTAAACCTATCCGCAAAGCGGCGCTTCGTTTCCCTTTTTTATAGAAACTTTTACATTTAGAGCATTGAATAGCGTTAGCTGAGATTTCATGGCGCGCATGAAAAAATACCCCGAACAAAAATTTCACCCGCGAAGTCCATCTACTGTTAGTCATGTATTGGGTTGCGGGTTTTTTCAGGAGCGGCGCTTTGGACGTGTACGTTGATGATACCCCGGTTATCGACTACATGAGAGCGAACGAGCGAGAATGCCTCCTATCCGTCATGGGCAAGCCGTTCGGACAAGATGCTTACACTATAGGTTTCGCCAAGAAATTTTTCCTGAAAGTACGTGTTCGTGCCCGAACGTGACAACAGTGTGCAAATAGTTCTTATTACTGCATTTCGAATGAGTTCTTACAATACATTCGAGAATTCGATCGGTTGTTTTCGTTGTGATAGTTTTTTGTTTCCGATGATTTGTCTTATTCTGATTCTCCCTCATTATCGTAATCATCACCATCTACCGCCATTAATTTATCTTCCTCTGCTTCTTTGTTTTTACTTTATTAATTCTTAAATTGCACAAAATATCTCGGTTTAATTATGGTGCTTCCGTCTCAAGGCCGAGATTTCTCATGCAATACTGGAGATGTCTGAGTCAGGAAAAGTTGATCGCCTGCGGGAGAGGTGGTACGGCTCCTTGCATTGTTTTCGGCAGCCCCACAAGCGCCCTCCTCAGGTACGCTAGTGACTAAATTATTATAACACTTACACATGTGCCGTAGATAGATACTGTTTGCTATATTATTTTCCTCTTCCTTCTCTTCTTCTTTCTTCCCCCTTTCTCTTCCTCTTCCTCTTCTTCTTCGTCTCCCTCTTCCCTTTTCTCTTCTTCTACGCCTTTGTCTTTTTTTCCTTCTTTTTCGTCGTCATCTCTCTCTCTCTCTCTCTCTCTCTCTCTCTCTCTCTCTCTATCTATCTATCTATCTCTCCTTCTCCGCCGCCGTTATCCTTTTACCACGTCGCCGTATTTGCCACTTCCCCAACAAAAAATGTTTTGATTTTAAATAATAGCAGTTAATGTGATTACACATCTTTTCACACGTCACACTTTCGAAGATGTGTCTTCTTACTTTAACGCTATGTTAACGAATGGCTTCCACCAGGAAGGCACGATCCGTTCAGAATAAATAAAAAAAACTGTCTTTTTCTGGCAGAAATTGTCGGAGTTAAACATGGCAGGCATGTTTGTAATGCTCGGCTTCGGAGTGATTTCCGGGTTGCTGGCTTTCCTCGCCGAATGGATCGTCTACAAGTGGCTTGTACCCTACGTACGTCATCAGCCTCCAAGTGCCTGCAAGCGACACATCGTATCTCTACTAGCCTTCCTTAATACCGTACGTATCCACTCACACTGCGTTCCGGCCGACTGCGTACCTGGTCTAACTTCAGTCTGTCTTACTCCTATTGATAGACTCCTGGTTATATGTGCTCTTGAAACAGCGATGTTTCAGGTGTCACCGGATGTGATGGTGACGGAAAACAAGTTGGGCTTATGGCGGGAAACAGGCTAGGGTCATTAGCGGAAGCAGACTGAGAATTATGGCAGAAAATAGGCTGGGATTGTGACGGAGGAAAGAGATCTGTCAGAATTAGTCAGTGACATTAAAGGAACAGTAGCCTCTAGGTTCTAGGGTTATTTTCAGCTAATTTAGGTTATAATTGCGCTACATAAAAAGTTTCATGGTTCAATCACCATTAGAAATATTTTTAAAAAATGTTTTAAAACTAACGACTACAGTTTGATTACAACGACGGTGGCGCCACTCAAAGCGCACGATCTGAGAAGTTGCGCAAAACCACTTTCCAGCCAAGGGCTACAGACCGAGGGTATTTCTTATTTATTCATTTAAAAGCAAAAGGATTGTAATCTCTTATAAACGACATATAGTTTCAGTTATAATATGGATAAATTTGCCCTAAAATGAATATCGTTCGGTTAAATAGCATTTAGGTATAAATATAATTTCACTTTTGTGATTAGCCCTCGGTCATTTACCTGCAAAATAAAAATGCAAATACGCAACTTTTTCAGGGTGGCAGCACGGTCGCGGGTGTCATGGCGCCGTTCAAATTTCGTAGCGTTGATGTGTAAATAATTAATTAAGTATCTGGTGACAAATACATGTGGATATAGACGATTTGTTATACAGTAAGTACAGTTGTATGCAGTAAAATCCTAGAGGCTACTGTCCCTTTAACTTGTCGCCAAACGCGGCGACAGCTTCGTGTACGGTGAACGCCTCGTCTGTGACTTAATTACTAACGATGATTAGCTAGGTAAATATATGCCAGCAGTAATTAATACAGCACAGCCGAAATCTGCGCCTATTAATTATGTACAGCATCAGTATAATCAATCAGTAAGATGTGTGCGTGGAGGCCTAGTCTGGTGTTGGCTGGGTTTGTATTTTGTGTCTATATGCTACATCCAAGTGTAGCGAGTTTTCTGACATCGTACCACAAACGCTTTACTACGTTACTAACAAAACCATTAGAAATATATATATATATATATATATATATGCCGTGTATTGTGTAAAAGGGTATCTATAGGCCGCAATGCATCACAATGTTAGTGTGTGATATGTGTATGTTTATCAAGGTTAGTTTGGCTCAAGGTCGTTTAGAGGCGTGGTCGTTTAATTAGGACCGCGCGTTTTTCTTTTGTTTAAATAATTGTTCAAAAGTTATGCACCTGTGACGTTATTACGACGTCACTGCGACGATCCTATAAGTCCCTACAACATTCCTATGCGGGTAAACGAGGACGCGGTGTCGCAGAATTCTGATGTATAAATATGCTTTTCGCTTCGGCTCTCGGTCTTTCTACCCAGAGCGTGTATCTGGCCGCGACGCGCGAGTGTCGGGTCTCAGACCTAGTTGGCAAGATTCAGAACATACGAACGATCTACAAGGCTCACTACGCAGACAACACCGATGACCACCAACACGCTTTCCACAACACGGTGCGCCCCCTGGAGGTAAGATTTGTTACGAAATCGTCGCATGTAGAGTTAAAGATACGGTCTGGTTTCTCTCTATATCGCGTTATTATAAATTAGTTCGTTCGCAGCCATTATTTGCGACTATACGTTATAATAGTATACCCCATTCATTATTAATAAGTAAAGGTATAGTATTGTCCGTATATTAATTACATTAATATACTTGATATTAACGTGTCCATATATCACAGAGCGATCCAGCTGTAATTCCAATGCGGACGGTAGATGGAGCCACGGGTGACGGAGATTCTCGACACGAGCAGCCGTCGATAGCCGAGCGCAATCAGAAAGCGTCTGCTCTCTCAGAAGCATCATCACGTGGTGGAGGCATAACGTATGCGTATATCTGTCTGACTAATATTATAAGATCACTTGCTTTGTCGGTGCTGCAAGCCTACAGTGTTACGTGTGTGTATCAGCGTGTTGCGTGGTGCTACTGCATGTTGCCTGATATCTAGCGATGTGATACTGCGTGTTACGTGATGATACTATCTGTCACATGGTAATACTATTTGTTACTTGGTCATGCTATTTGTTACTTGGTAATACTACTTGTCACTTTGCAATACACTTATTATTTTGTAATACTATCTACGCATCCCACTTTATAAACCTCTTATCTACATCATAAACCACTTGCCATGCACTATGAGCTTCTGATATACTGTTTATTACCTTTTATTTTGTAAAAGTGTCATGGCACAAAATGTTGAATACTCCGTTAGAACAGAAATCATAAACTTGTAATTTTTGTTGTCTGCTGTGCTGTTGACGTGTTCCCGCCGACCAATGAAATTATCGCTGGTTAGCGGCGGTACGTCGAAATCACTGTAATTTCTGTTCTGACAATAAACAAGTTTACAATTTCTGTCGCAGGAAAATTTGCTACATTTCTTCACGGAAGGATCTCTCTGTGTAACGGTGTCCGGTTGCCTGTTGCAGGGCAGGCGTGTGTGCGCTGTGCAGCTGTAAACTAAGATCGACGGACAGGAGGTCGAGTGCCAATTACGACACGGTGAGCCTTCCGGGCACGCTAGAGGGCGCTAAGAGCGCTAAGAGCACCGACGGGGAGCCGTCGGAATCCGACTCAGATCAGATACCAGCGCTACTGCTGCAGCAGAACATTCGCATAAGTATGTCCGTGAAGGGAAACCACGACATCAAGGTCGCGTGGACGAAGCCTTAGCAGTAGATCGTCAACCACACACCCAGGACTTCCCATATGCTATAGCTGCTGCGTAGACTAGAAGACCCGTCTATCGCATATAGATCCTATCAAGAGCGTATTAAGAAGGTTCTTGAGAAGGTGCTTAAGAAGCCTTCTTTATACGCTCTTGATCCTATTTATAGGCCGTCCCACGCGCACGCGGAATTCACCACGGCAGCCATTTTGAAGGAAAAGACAGCGGTGCGATAGCAGCAGCTGAATTACATATTGCTATTGTAGCGTTATGTGTGGCTTTGGATGCTCAACTCGGCAAGGAAATAGCCAGATCTACATTTCCTTTTAGATTCTCTGGTTCTCATACATTATTCAATAAAATTTCTTCATTATACGCTTATATTACTTAGTTCGACGCTAGAGAACCTGGTGGTTAGAGGTGAAAGCGCGTTTCCAATGACGCAGGAATGATGCAGACCTCACTGCAGTTATATCTCTGGCGGATCCTTATACAACAGTGTCCGGTGTAGGCCTAGTGCGACCTCCCCACCCCATCTGACAAGTTTACCCACTTTATAGGCCTACATTGTGCATGGGCAAAAAAAGATGAAACCCCCCATGCGGCAATCAAATGCGCGACGCCCGCTGCTAGACACGCGAACTTGGTTTCTCATGTGTAAAGGGGTACACATAGCCGTTGCGTTCTCACGTTACTAAACACGACTGCCATTCTGTGTGCGCGCAGGTGTGTATATATAATGCTAAAAAGAATGGTACACGTGTATTGGGATGTTGGTTCGGGTGTCTACGGACGCCGTGTAGTGGAATGTGTAATACGTGCATCACATATTTGCATATGTGTTTTTGCAGCAGGCTTAGAGATGTGAAATAAAAGCAGCATCTATAAACAAAAGTCCACGTGGTGCGTTTCCATTCTCACCACTACCACCATCGTGCAGCAGAGGCAGCATAAGCGTCTTCGTCTTCATAATCCGCCTCTTCCTCCTCCTCCCCTTCCTCCTACTCCTCCTCCTCATCATCATCATCATCACGATTGCCATCATCACCATCATAATTTTCATCCACATAAT